ACCATCCCGCCTAATCATTGTTATATTGAGAGATTTATAAAAAGATGACGGTATGGTTTATACTTTATAAAAAGAACGTGATGAAATCCCGCATCGTGTTTATTATTAAATGATTTTATAATAATCTTAAAGTCTTCTTTTATCTTTTTAAGAAGACTTAACGATTTTATAAAATTCGATTTTATATTAACGATTTTATAAAATAACGATTTTATAAGCCTTCTTCTAAAATGATAAAAAGGCTTAATGAAATTGCTACAACGAAATATCTTATTAAAAAGAAAATATTGCATGAAATGTTTAAGATCCATCTAATGATAAAATTTTATCATTAGATAATAAATTGTTTACAATTTAGCATTTTATTATCAATTAAATGGTATTATTTTTACGCTATATTCATTACTTTACAATTGATTTGTATACAAACGAAATTGTTCCTTTGTGATTGCCACACGAAGGTTGATGATGATGAGGACATTGATATAGTAGAGCTAAATAATGAGTTATATCCTCATTTACAAGATTGTTATGTAATATATGCGGTAAAATACCAAAGAGCAACCGTGGCGCAGTGGAAGCGCACTTGCCTCAGAAACAAAGGATCCGTGGTTCAAACCCCACCTCTGGGCTAGTTTAGCGACATCGTTTGGGAAGGAGGCGTGAACTTCCTATTAAATGCTCATTCGCGGTGCTCTGTGATAAGACCGTAAGGACTTCTTAGAGTACCTAAAATAAAAAAAATAAAAAAAAAAATAAAGGTTTTCTCTCGTTTGATGAAACCAGAAATCAATCCAGAAGTAACCTGAAGCTCCTGACAATCATCTTGAAAGTAAACAGTGTTTACAAAATTTTAATAGATATTTCAGAAACATTGAGCACTGCGAGGTTTGTGACAAATTTAATGAAAATTTTAAACTGTTCAAAATACTCTTATAGTGGTCCCAGCGAACACGGGGACGTATAAAAAACGTACAATGAACGTTCAGACGGAATATTTGTTATGCAATGAGCGAGTTTTTGCAATCATAGAATTTATAGGGTTTTAACGATAAAAATTTAAAGTATGAAAACATATTTCAAATTACAGATCTATAAAATATCAAAAACTGTTGTCGTGGTTTAGTTTTTCACGGTCACCGACGTCTTTTCTAGTGAAAGGCAGTGCTAAGAAAATATTAAAATTTCATAATATATTATTATGGAGTTTTTTTTACATAATTTAAATATTGGCTGACTTACTTACTAATTTTTCACATGTCTTGTGTAAGATCTTGCATCAACTTCCTGTTTGTTTGAAAACCATGTGTTTTTCAAGAGAAGAAAAGAATTAAATTTCTTTAAACTTAACAAATCTCATTATAAATAATAATTAAAGTAAGTATTAGTAATAAAGTAATCTGAATAATTGGTAGCAAAAACGAGAGTTTTAATAATTTTTATTCGTAGACTAGTACTAATAGGCACTGAATCCCACTGATAGTATATGTGAGTAACAAAGGTCCAGCGGTCAGCATTAATCTGTCAATTACAAGTTCTTCTTTCAATGTTTTTACAGTTTGAGACATTAATAGCATCGAAATTGAGACGTGTAAAGAGCGAGTTATATTTGATTGGACTATGTGATTTATAACCACCTTCATGGTTGAAACAGCTGCTCACGAACAAGCCTACAATGTTTTTACCATTACCTGAAACAACTTAAGTCAGTCAGAAATGCTAGTCACGCAACGGTTGATGAAGTGTTGTTGCTTCGGATCAGGGGTGCCATTTTGTGATTGATAGACTTGAAGATTTACATGGCAGCTGGTTGTAGTTAAAGAAGACCAAGGGACGTTTATCAGAATCTCAAAAACAGCGAGAGTTAACATTTTCCAACAATTTGGACAAACTCTTTAACATTGCGCACATTTAAGCATTCCAGATGATGATTTTTAGATTAAGGAAGATGTAGACTTCCTCCTAGACCAACAGAAAAAACATAAATTAGCCTTCTCTCGTTGTACTGCCTTTTCTTTTTGTCTTTGGATAACACGTTCTTGCTTCTTAGCTAATAATTGCTAATAAACAAATTTCACCTGCTATTGTTTCAAATGCGGCCGCGCTAGGTTTTGATCCATGTTTGCTTCCTCTTTCACAAACTACCATATAATCGGTTCAAAAGAAAGTCAGAAAACAACTTGCCAAATCAATAATGGACAGTTTTGTGCCAGATTATCCATTGGTGTTACATTGGGACGGAAAATTTTCCCGAAGTAGGTATCGGACAAGTTGATTGCTTACCAATGCTGGTATTCGGTGACGGTGCCAATAAACTACTTGTTGTGCCAAAATTGGCAGCTGAAACAGCACATAATGAAGTTAAGGCTGTTTATAATCTGTTGCAGGTTTAAGTTGTCTTATAAAGTACAGGCAATGAGTTTTTACTCCACAGCTGTGAATACAGGACATTTGGGTGGTATTTATGTACTTCTTTAACAAATGATAGGCAGAGAACTAATATGGTTAGCATGTCGTCATCACATAATGGACCTTAGCTTTGGACCTTTAAGTTCTCCAGACATACCCATCACACACAATTATTATTGTGGATTGGGAATACAGGCAGAGACTGAAAACTTTTGTGAAGTAACTGTTGGCTTTCTAGTTGAAATGACACAATTGCAGATTCGAAATGATTACAGAAAACTTATTTAGCTAACATTATTTATCATTGGTTATCCACCAGCAACAATCCACTGGCGAGCTCCAGGACCTGTTCACCATATGCATTGGATAGAAAAGCTTATATACAGCATAAAAATCTTTCTCTTCCAGGAAAACTAGATATTTTGGTTTGTGCAGTTCAGAGCCCTTCTGCATACAAAAATGTGGAAAGCAGCATCATTTGCAGCTGATGCGCCAGGTAATGATCTTGCATTCTGGAAAGATCTCAGAAAATATCAAGCCAACGATTATGAGATTTAGAAGCAAAATGTATTCACATTTTCGTCTTGGACTATATTAAATCTTGAATTTTAGTCATTATCACTTACGCATATTACATGTATTTGCTTTGACAATAATATCAGGCTGATATGTTTAACAGCTCATTCGTCCAACATACTTCAACTGTTAGATGTAGTGTATATTGTCACATTAAACGAATTTGTTGCAAATTACTTACTGAATTTTATGCAGCTACAATTTCAACAACTTAAAAAAAGAAAGTCTCATTCAACTACAAGCAAAACGTTTTTGCTCCGGTTCAAAATTTAACAACAAAACCTTCTGCTCAAACGTATCAAATGTTGCTACACTTCACAGAAAGACTCGAGGGCAATTTGAAAAATGTTTTACTGCGCGATTATGTTGAAACAAAAAAAAAACTCAAGATTTCTAGACAATGGCACCAAGAGGTAAACTTAACTTTTAAAAAGATTCGGTTTAATTTTTTTTTTAATTAATTTAGCTTAATTTTCTTAATATTTAAATAAATTTTTAAAAAAATTGTTTTGAAAGCTAACTTTTTTTTAATTAACAAAGTGATTCAAGAAAACCTAATAGCTTTATCACAGAACAATGTAAAGGAGCATTAAATCAGAAAGTTCACGCCTTCTTCTCAATGCAACTAAGGCATAGAACAAACAAACTCATAAAAAAAAAAAGCCGATAATTTAAAACAAATCCGATTGGTTGTTAGTGGCAAACCGAAAATTTTTTTACTTAATAGTATTTAATTTATGTGAACAAAGAATTCGAATTGAATGTAAATTATTTATAAAATTTTCCGCCTCTGTTTTTTAATTGTTTACGCCTTATGAATTTAATAATTTATTATTTCAAATAATGATACTAAATACCGAAAACAGTTTTTTAAATGGGGCTAAAAGTTATGATTTTTTATGCAAAAACGACTTAGAAAAATTAACACTACCATAGGTTATCTAAATCTAAAGTGACATTATTGTTTCACATACTCATTTAGGTGTGGTATTGAAAATAGTAACTTCAATTTTTATAAAAAAATGGTTTTTCATTGATAGTTTTCTAAAATATTCCAAAATACCAATACGTGCTTTTATGAAAAAATCAATATCATAGACTTATCAATAACCAAGCCCCAAGTTAAAAATTGCATCTTTTCTAAATAAAACTATGCTTGACAATTTGTAATATCCGCATTACTTTTACCAGATTATAATAGCGGTTAAAATAATCTTTCCATACATACCAAATATGTCAAATATGTCATACTTTTTGATGAAGAAACTTACATATATTGTAATTGAAAAAACATATAATTTTGTTCGGAAAAACGTGTACCAGGCCTTAGTCGCATTAAATTCCTTACCATTGCCGATTACATGGCCAGAACCGGTGAACCTCCTCGTTTTGAACCGCAAGTCTGACCGCTGCGCCATGGATATATTTTATTTTTTCAAGAATGAATAATAAATAAAAGCTTTTTTTATCTACATTTGTGTTAGAACCTCAAAAATTATCAAGCCACATAAAATAATTGGGTCCTTACTGAGCCCTTACATAAAATGATCGGGTCATCTAGTCACACGCAATAATATTTTGTTGCAATTAAGTATTGAAATTTTTGTGTTTTTTACTTTAAATTGTTATTTGTTTATGATTCACTTTTATTTTAAACATTATACAGAAAGAGAGAAAAACTGTTCCGATTCGTTGAATTTGAATTGAAATAAAAACAAGATTAGGAAAGTAAAAATTCGTGACCAGATTATTATAAACTACATACATATAATGTCAAATTAAAATAAATACTCATTAGTCTTAAAAAAAGTAGTTTAAAAAATATTAAAAAAAAAATAATTTTTTTAATAAGTAAAATTTTTTTATTACAATAATGCCATTTAAATAAAATATGCCATACTTTTTACAATTGAAAAATATAGTTGAGCTGCATTTTATTTAAAGCTTGGTTATTTGTGCTTTTCAAGAATGATATCTTACTGAATTTATTATTAAGCGAGTATGAATTAATCGTCTTGAATTTAATCACTGAGACAAAAATATAAACATCTTCCTCTCTTGCAAATGTTTTAATTTTCGTTGTATTAAAAACTTATATCAATATATATTTAAATATAAATATATATAAATTTTGAAAATGTCAGAAGCTTCAACTGGATTACTAAATGAGAGTAAAAACAAAAGTAATAAATACGAAGGATCTGCATGGTCTCAACATTGGAAGCTTATTTTGACAGGAGTTGGTGTTGTTTTCCTAATAGCTTTAGGAGTTATTTTTGGTGTTATTTTAAACACTGATCGTGAAAATAAGCTAAAAAATTCGAAAAGAGAAGAACTTTTTCCATATTCAAATATTCGTTTACCTCTAAATGTAATACCAGAAAGATACAAAATTTACTTACACCCTAACATCACAGATAACAAATTTGGTTTTACTGGAACTGTTAGAATACTTATAAATATCACTGAAGAAACTGACTCCGTATTATTGCATATAAAAGATTTAAATATCTCTGAAGTGAAATGCTATCATGGTTCATCAGCTATGTCAAAGCATAAAGGGCCAGAAGATTCACAACAAGTTCCTGTAAAAGATCACTTAATAAGTGTGGAACATGAGTTTTTAATGATTCGAATGAAAGAACAGCATGAATTAGAAGTTGGAAAACAGTACACTCTTTTCATACGATTTAATGGTAGATTGTCAAATGGGCTAGAAGGGTTTTACAAAAGTTCTTATACTACTAGTAAAGGTGAAAAAAGGTATTCATATTTTAATATTTATATACTTATTTATAATAGTTAAGTAAATATTAAGTTGATAAATTGTATTAGTTATGGTTTTGTTGGTTTTTTCAATTAAACTGGTTTCAGCTAATAAAATGGTCTTACAATATTATTTTACATTATATTATAACTTAACAAATGTATGCACCTTTTTTTAAAAAAGAACTTTTAAAAAATGTTTACGTCATTTTGTTATTAAATTAAAAATCCAATTCTTATTGTAAACAAAAATTGATAGCTAGTTAATATTTTTTGTGTATATGTTCTGCTCATTTTTTTTTTTTTTTTTTTTTTTGTACAGCACTTTGAAAACTGAACAGCACTTTTTATAGCAAATACTTACATTTTAACCTTTTTTTTATTGCTGTAAAAAATATTTACTACATCATCATCACCTATGTGTCCAATCCTGTGCTTTTGTGCAGTATAATGTAAATTTTAGTACTTTGTGTGGGCTCTTTAAACTTTGAGAACAGGCATATCAGGATGTTAACTATGAATGAATTTGATACAGTGTTTTGATGAAATTGGGAATTTGTCAAAAAATTTCTCTCACACCATCATGCAAAAAATTGTGTCATCAAAAGAAATGTTTTAAAAATAAAAAATAAACACAAGCTCGTAAATTTCATATTGCAAATTTATTGCAAGTTCAATTTTATAATTAATATTAACTTTCTTTATACATAAATTGCATAGCAAAATAAAGTTACAATTACTGTCTCAGCAAAAATTACAACAAATGTTGTTTCATTACAAAAGAATTACAAAAGATCGCAAGTGATTGCATGCTAAAACAAAGAATACCAATAATTATTTTTTTATGCATAGTGATAAAATGTTAATATGACTATGGTTCATTGAAATATTTAAATTTGTTTTTATGTTTTAAATTTAAGCAGTGAATCTAGTTTTCTTGTTTTTTAAATTTTGAGTACCAGTTTGTTGCAATAAAAAAACATTCTTGTTATTAAAGTAAAGAAATCTATTTTCTTCAATAAATAAATTTCTAAAACCAGTTTGTTAAAATCAAAAAACATTTATTTAACTTATTAAACTTTTCAGCCAAAAAGGGCGAAACTTTTAAAAAAATTTGTGGGTTTAAACAATTTTGTGGGTTTAAACAGCATTTGTGAGTGTTAAACAAAACAAGTTTGTAATTTTTCATGCTAGGAACGATCGCTCTCAAATACTGACCACAGAAATAATATTTAGTTGCAAAAAACTGGCCAGGTTTTTTAGTCGTTTTGAGAATATTTAAGTTTATGTATATGTCCGTAAAACAAAATATTTTTTTTTACAGACATATATGGATATATACATAAACTTGAATAATGTCAAAACATCTTGGTGGAGAAGAATAAAAAGAATATTTGCAAACACTAAAAACCAAATTTATGAACAAACTAGTTACATTGGTTCAAAAAATATGTTTACTAAGTGAAATTATTTTCAAGAGTATTCTGTTAAAATGTTTTAAAATTCTGCAAGGTTTGTTAAGTTTTGAGATCTCTAGCAATTGTTTTAAAAATATATTATCAAACAATCTATTACTATAATGTTATGGCTCATTCTCGGAGCCACATCTGCAAAGCCATAAATCTTTTAAACTATTATTATTTGTTTACAAAAATAAATGTTTTAAAATATATATTTTTTAAACTGTTAAAATTTTGAAAGTTTATTATAAATTATAGATTTTATTATTATATTATTATTTTTTTATTTAAAAAATATGTATTTTTATGTAAATGTAATTTTGTGTATCTGTTTTTATTCTAATATAATCTTTTAAAGTAATTTATATGATTTATTTTGTAAACAAAGACTTTCAACAATAATTGTGTTTTCAATGAAGTTATTAATAATTATCAAAGTTAATAAAACTAGTTATGAAATAAACAAAAAAAAAAAGTTTCTGGTTACTAAACACAAACATGTATACAAAGTAACTCGCAGGTGAACAAACACCGCACCTGAAGTCACAACATAACACAAATATATATATAGAAAGTTATAAGATATAAAGAAAAGTTTTTAGATATTGGTTTACTAACTCTAATTATTTTTGCTTCAGTTGTCTTACAAACTCGTTATACTTTTTTCTGCTTTAAATACTAGTTAAAATTAAAGAGCCCACTCACTAAACATCATCAGCAATATCGTGAAGCAGTTTCGCTTCCCTGTCATAAAGTATTAACCTTTTTATTTAAATCTAACCTTTTTATTTAATTTCCCTGTCATAAAGTGTTAACCTTTTTATTTAATTTCTATCTAGTTAATTTAATTTCTACAGTAACTCAATGATTTAGTTATTTCATTTGTTTATCTTACCAAGAAGAATTGTTTCAAATATGATAAACTTTTCAAACTACGCGAAGCATAAAATAATTGTTCAAAAAAATTAACTTTTTGATTTATAAAATAATTTAGCCTAAATAAAAACTAGCGTTAGTTATGTTAGAATCTTTTAGACTTTTTGGGGCCGGGGGCTATTTTTATTTTGGAGGCTTTTTTTTATGTGCCACAGTGTAAAAATAACTAAAAAAAGGTTTTCTTGACTATTTTTGGGCCCCTAATATTGCGGGGCCTGGGGCCATAGCCCCCTCTAACCCCAAATCCTCCTTAATCTTGCAATGGAAATACGACATGAGCAATCGTAAGATGTTACTTTATACAAAAAATGTCGCTTAATTTTATTAAAAAATTATAAAAGAGGGATATTTCGAAAATATTTGTTCTAAACGTAATTTATTTTGCTAATAAATAAGTTTTTTTGTGTTAAAAGATATTTTATTTTCCTAGTTTATATATTTTTTTTGTAATTGTCTCTCATTGGTCCAGTTAATCTTTTTTGCGCTTTTTTTTTTTTTGAAATGTTCTCAAAACGACTAAAAGACCTGGCCAGTTTTTCGCAACTAAATATTATTTCTGTGGTCAGTAATCAAGAGCGATTGCTCCCACTTCCTGACCAAGCCTGTATTACGATATTTCTTTTAATATTTGTTTTTACCTAACATGGTACTTAAAAAGTAAAAGTAAAAATGCAAATTTAAACCACTTTAATTATTTATAGAAAACTATTTAAAATTTCATGCTGATGATAATTAGGTGTTATTTTTAAAGAGTATTGTAAAAAGCTATAAAACCACAAAAACAACTTTGCTGTTGTTTTGACAATATAAAGAGTCTTTTTTTTTTAAGTTATTTTTGTTGTTTTATCGCATTTTTTCAATACTCTTTAAAAATATTTTTTAATTTTATTTACATGTTTTTTTATTATTTACACATTAAATTTATATTTTATTAAGTTTAAGTAGGGTTGTTTCTACACCTAGCGTGGTTCGACACTTATCGTAGGTTATAAATACTAACATAAATTTTGGAATAAGTAGTAATTATTATTTTTTTATATTTTATTTATCAACAACATTGTCATGCACTTCTATTACAATACATAGAAACCGCAATACATAGTTACTTATATGAACTCAATGGGTTTATTACATCATCCTATGAAAATACTTTTTTTTAAGTACCAGCTGTTAAAAGCGCTGCAAATAAAATAAGGTAATTTAAGAAGATAACATAAATTTTTATTTCTAAATTGATTTAATAAGGTAAATAAAACATGAATCATTATTAATATTATTAAAGCCACTCATCATTATAGTATCAATGTATTTTTTTTGAATATACAATAAGTATGAACTAAAAAAAATGTCATTCCATATATATCGCATGTCCAATAAATAATCAATTTATTTCTTTTTTACTACAAAAATAAATATAATTTCACTTAGATTCTTTTACAATGGCAAGACAAAAAAATAAGACAAAAGTTTGTAGCTCAAAACGAAAACTTCAATATACAGATAGCCAATTACGAGATGCTATTAGTTCTGTTAAAAAAGGTATGGTTGTGTATAAAGGGATTGTCCATAAATTACGTAACACAAAATTAAACTTAGACAAAAGACAAAGGATTAAAAAATTTTCCATCGCAGTGTCATTAATTAAAGTCCCGCAAAAATCGCCGCTCCAAAGAGCAAAATTATTTCCAATTTTTATTTTTTAAATAATTTATGGACGATCCCAAAGCAAGCAAGATATTTGGAATTCCTTATCAGACGCTTCGTGATAAAATATCTGGAAAAACTTCTTTGAAGATACAGAGGAGGAGTAACTGAAAAAGTCATAAGAGATTACTGAAATTCCAAAGCTTTTAGGAGAAAACGCTCAATATTTAAATGATTCGATGCGCGTTTTTAATATTGATAAGAGTGGTTTTCAGTTGTCACCAAAAACTAATTTATTAAGTGGTGAACGAGGAAAAAATGCATATGAAGAAAGTGTTCAAAGTAATAAAAAAAGCATCACCACTTTATTTGCAGTAAATGCCAGCGGAACTTTTGCTCCATCATTAACAATTTTTAAATATGTTGGTCTTTTAAATAGAATTATAAATACTGCTCCATCAAGATGGGGTTTTGCAAAAAATGAAAATTGTTGGATAACCACAGAATGTTTTTTTTAATATATTACGAACATTGTTCATTCATTTTTGATAAAAGAAGAAACTCCTTTATCAGTTTTTTTTTTTTTTTTTTTTTTTTTGATGGTCATGCGTCACATTATTCTATCAAACTTAGTAAGTTTTGCTCTAAAAATGGAATAATTCTTGTTGCTTTGTTCCCAAATGCAACACATATTTTGCAACCGCTTGATGTGGCAATTTTTGGGCCAATGAAAGCAAAGTGGAAATCGTTTTGCTGACAATGGCGCATTGACCATGAAGGACAAGAAATAAACAATGAAAATATACAAGAAGCATTAAATTCATTTATAATCGATCCTTTTATGGCAAATAATGTTAAAAGTGGTTTTAAAAATACCGGAAAATTTCCATTTGATGCTAATAGTGTGGACTACACAAAAATTGTTCAAAGATTATTTGAGTCAACTGTGGCTCTGAC